GTTCCCTTATCCCGAGCACGCGCCCGTCTTTTCCCCCATTTAACACATACCGATCCGCTGGAAATTCGATTGACGACTGGGAGATTCGAGACAATGAAACATTGATAAAATAATTTATACTGAGAATAACAAAAATATGTACAAATTATGTGTATATATAATTTCACCACGGGTCAGAAGTGACACAGCCTTAGAAAAGTGAGGAGAAACGTGAGAACTATTCCGATAAAATGAAAGATCCTGAGGTCGAGTCATTTCCGACTCATGATAAAATTATACGTGTTTCTCTATTCCTATATTCTTTAGCAGTGAAACTAGTAAATTATTTTGCGACAAGTAGTTCACTAAGCGATTTCTCAGAACATTTCCTTAATTCGATTTCAGCTTAGACCAAGTTTCATTCAAGGAACACAAAAGGTAACAATTTGTTATACAGTGCACGAGGGTTGAATAATACCCGCACGTCAAATAGTGAATAATCTACGTCAGAACTCGAACTTCGAGGAGTACGTGACTCAAGCTCCCTTTCGAACATCCGGGAACTCGGAAGGATCGGTTCAGATCAGCCTGTCCCGAACATATCAGCTCTCGGTTAGGTCCGCGAAGAAAACCTTATGCCCACGCGAGACTGTTTTCGAGATGCGTCACTGCGCATTCCGGCCTCGCAATGCGTTTTGCAAGCATTTTGCGTACGGACGATTGAAAAAGGTATCTGGTATTGCGAAACGGTCTCGATCGTCATCGAGCCGCTGTAATTTCACTAGAAATCACGGTAAAAACTATGATTCCCGCGTCGAAGCAGTTACGAAACTCCGAGTGATTCGCGACCACGAACGAATTTTATAAAGATTCGAATACAGTGCAATAAGGCCTCTGGAAAGTGATATCTTCTTTACATAAAATTATTGTTCAACTATTATACAATATTAATGCACTCACCGCCGCGACGGTCACCGGTGTAGAACCTTTCGTTAAACCAGTGTCGGCCACGGGTGACCGACGTAGAATTTTCTGTTAACGCCTTGTCGGTCACCGGAGACCGACACAGAAATTTTCATTATCGCCGTGTCGGTCACCAGTGACCGGCACTGAATACAAATTGAAATGTTAATTAGTACAATCGATTGTGAACGAAAAGTCGACAGAAATAGGATTCACGGTGAACGATGTTAAGAGAAGCAAGAACTTTGACCGGACCAATGAGATGACCCGACACAAAGAAGTCGGCTAGCCACGGATTCCTCCCCTCCCGTCCGTGGTGTGCACATTGCACTTGCGTTCACGGGCGCGCCACAGTCAATGGCCGGCCGTATTTAGCCTTCGATTTGTACGCAGAAGGTCCGCGGTGCAGCGGATATAGTAGGCGACGGGCTGAATCGGTAATCGCCCACCACTTTAAACGACCATCCACGATCTGGTGCAGACACGGGTGATAAGGATTGAAACCAGAAATGCAAAAGTACTGAACCGCATAACGTGGAATTGTCTGATATCGACCCAGCTAGGGGTCAGGAATGACACAGCCTTGGGATGATCGAGGGAAATACTGGCGCTATAGAATCTAAACCAGTCCTAAGGTTGGGCCACTATTGACCCGTCGGCAAAGTATTCATATACTTGTTAGAAAATATTTCTGGTAGGAACATAATCTTCATGGGCAGGGATTGCATCTTCAAGGATTGTATCTTCAGGGTTTCGATCTTGAGGGATTGAATCTTCAAGATTTCGATCTTGAGGGATTGAATCTTCTAGATTTCGATCTTGAGGGGTTGGATCTTCAGGGATTGTGTCTTGTGTACTTGGATCTTCAGGGATTGTATCTTTTGTACTTGGATCTTCAGGGATTGTATCTTGTGTACTTGGATCTTCAGGGATTGTATCTTGTGTACTTGGATCTTCAGGGATTGTATCTTGCGTACTTGGATCTTCAGGGATTGTATCTTCTGTACTTGGATCTTCAAGGATTGTATCTTGTGTACTTGGATCTTCAGGGATTGTATCTTCTGTACTTGGATCTTCAGGGATTGTATCTTGTGTACTTGGATCTCCAGGATTTGATTCTTCAGGATTTAGATCTTCCGAGATTGAATCAATCCTTACACTCTAGGCTACCAAAGACAATATTGTTCCGTGTGTCTCCGTTTCGCATGCCTGATCGATAAAGGGGCGCGCACCGGTGCTCTCCTTGCCGAGAGAAAGTCTCGTAGATACGAACACACGCGAGTGACAGCCTCGGTGGGTGTATCAGCGTGCCCGCCTACCGAGACTTTGTCCTTTGACAAAGAGCCATCAGCCTAGGCCTCGAGTTCCACCTCGAGTGGTGAACCTCCGATGCGTAGTGTCCGACCGTTTCCCAAGATTCTACAATCGAAATTCAACGCTACCAACCTGGCCTAGACCCGCGATGGAACGAGCTTCGACTGCCTTACGCCCGGCATATTAACTAACAGAGGCTCGAGCATCATAGCGGGCAGTGGAAGGAGCGGTACAGGAAGACAAAGTACAATTTTTACCGTCCACGGGGTCGCTGGACTTAAGCATTGTTTCGCCAGAACGAGAGATTTCGGAGGATCGATGTTACCCCATGGTGAAAAACAATGAATCGTGTCGATGCGATCGTTCGATATTCCTGGCCTGGCCTGGTCCTAATGGATCGACATTCTTCTTGCGCAACGAGACGTAAAGACCTTTAACGTGACTGCTGTCTGCCCCTTCTGGATCGCGGTGTTGCGCTTCGGGCTGGATGGTTTATATGATTACGGAACTCGCGCTCTTACCGGGCCTTGACACCTACGACGCCGATATGTCGGGACGTGGAGTTAATCGGGTCACGGCACTGTATCATTCGGGACCGCCGAGAGACTAGTAACGAGGGAGAAGTGGATTAGTTTTGTTCTTGGAATCGTCTTTTATCCTATACCCTTATACCGACTCTGGTAAATTTACTGGAGCAACGTTAGTATGGTACCCTATTTCGATCATCGGCGAACAAGTATCGAGGGAGTACTGTACTTTTAATTCTGCAATCACCTAACTACGATTTATTCTTATATAATAGAAATATAGCCACGAACTTTCGCAGAAACAGTATTTATGATACCATATTGGGATCATAGATGAACAAGTAACGAGGCAGTACCGTGCTATAGACCATACTGTATGCTTCCTCTCGACAGTAAATTCAATGTTTCATTCTGTTCTACTCAGCAGTAAACACGTGTTCTTACACGCAAGTTCGCGAGCGATCGATCAATTCTTCATCTCTGCGATCGCGTCTCGCGGATTTAGCTCCTTCCCGACGATCTTCTTCGATCCAAGGAGCGGCGGTCGACATACCCAAGTGATTCACACGATTCGTGAAAGTTCGGTTGCGTCGATCGAGAAACAATTTGAAGCCCCCTTGGAATTCCCGGTCGCGTAATTCGAGGATCCTTGAGTCAGTGAATGAGGTGGATAATAGGGCGGAAAGACCATGGGAAAAAAGGATTCGAATTTCTCGAAAATTTGCGAAGACGAGGAAGACATACGAGTGTGCGTACAGTAGTCGTAAGACTTCGAGTCTGTTAGAGGTTTTCGACCCAGAACAAGGACACATTTAGTCCCGTGATATCCTAAATTTCACCTCGAGTTTTTAGAATCGAAGCTCTCGAATATTCGTCAAATCCTGAATCCTTTCAATATTCCGTGGATCCCCCTTGCTCGAAGCGAACGGAAAATACAAGAAGGTATGTCCTGATTCAGACAGCTAAGCGGAAGTTGAAACGGATACGTGACTGTTACATGAATTCTAAGGGACCCGAGTCTAGAAGCCACAATCTTGGGTCTCTTAGCGCTTCAGGCCTTCTTGGTCTCTAGGACTCTCAAGGTTCTAGATCACCAAAATTCCTACAACTCCTAAGATCTTAGGTCTCTTGAGGACTCAGATCTCCTAGGAACTTCGAACTCTTGGGGTACCAGGACTCTAGGTCGCAAATCTCTTATGAACCTTCAAATACTAAGACTTTTGAGGACTCAGATCTCCTAGGAACTTCGAACTCTTAGGGTATCAGGACTCTAAAGACCCCAACTCTCCTAAACTCCTTCGATTCTGATCATGTTAGGTTTTCGGTACCCCCAAGATATCTTCCTGCCGCAAACCACCAGATCTCCGTAGTATCGAGACACACGGAGACAGAGTTCCATCGGTCGGTCGAACGGTCTAGCCAGCCAGTATCCCGGCCAGCCAACCAAACGTTCGGTATACCTCGACACGCGTACACGCCGCACTCGAGTGTCGACTACGTGGTGTCCAGTTTTCATGGGTCGAGTGGGGTGTGCTCCAGGTGGCCGTGGTGGGTGGCGTATAAGTAGAGGCCTGCGTTCGCCGCCGTTCTCATACCCTCACCACGTCCTTCGGCTACCTCTTACTTTTACTCCGCGCGCGCGCACGTTCGAAACACGTTACGTCTATATTTTTTCTTCATCTTCCTCTTCTTCGTCTTGTGTCCTCTCGTACAACAACGCTTCTCTTTCACTTCGGGTTTTCACTCGCTGGCCAGACACGCTCTCTCGCTCGTAACGGGCGCAACGAAACGAGAGAAACAGAGAGCGAGGAGGCAATCGAGAGGATCGTGGTTGTGAGTGTGTGGGCCGGTAGAAACGGTGAGATTAATTCGCGCGCGAGATCCGCGTTGAAACGTGCGAATCGAGCAACCACGCAACAGGGTGTCTGTACGTGCGCGCTCGCGCGCAATCGACGGTTGCTCGCCGCAGCTTTGGAAGACCAGGAGAACCCCAGCGTCAGGGAAAAGAAGAAGGGCGACGATGGTCGCGAGTGTCCGGTGACTGTATATACTTGAATCGGTGTTCGCCAGTACCCGCAACCGCGTCGGAGCCGCGACGATATACTCCTGATCAGTGCCCGCGTATTTTACGATACGATCGTCGCCAACGGAAGAGGACCGAGGAAGAACTTGGACGAATTGTGATTGAAAAGGAAACTCCGGAGGACTATCAGCAGCAATATGTGGCTGAAAACGGCGCTTCTGTGAGTACCAGTTCAACGTAAATGCGCGACTACACACTTAATATTCCGCGCAAGTACAGCCAGTTTATGCTACGTGTCCACTTGAGAGTTGAATTTAGCAGCGGAAGAAACAGATTTTATCCTATTATTTCACTTCAGAATAGTCTAGTAGACTCGAGGGAAATATTTCGACAGCTTATGCTACGTCTCCACTTGAGAGTTGAATTTAGCAGCGGAAGAAACAGATTTTATCCTATTATTTCACTTCAGAATAGTCTAGTAGACTCGAGGGAAATATTTCGACAGCTTACGCTACGTCTCCACTTGAGAGTTGAATGTAGCAGCGGAGGAAATAGATTTTATCCTATTATTTTACTTGGGAATAGTCTAGTAGACTCGAGGGAAATATTTCGACAGCTTATGCTACGTCTCCACTTGAGAGTTGAATGTAGCAGCAGAGGAAATTGATTTTACCCTATTATTTTACTTGAGAATAGTCTAGTAGACTCGAGGGAAATATTTCGACAGCTTATGCTACGTCTCCACTTGAGAGTGGAGATATCAGCTTTGGATCTTTAGACACCTTTCACGCGATATAGTCGGTGTAGCGACTGGTTTGTCGAGATGTATTCACGTTTGATCACGTCTGATGTTGTATCGTTAACAGTTCACATATTCTTGTGAACTGTTTTAATTAGGATATAACTGAATTAGATTTTAGTCAAGTTCCTTGTTTTAACGCGTTTCATAAAATGTCGGTCGGATGGCATTGTTAATTTAATTTTGTATCAGGAATATGTGGAACGAGTGAACGTGCCACGAAAACCAGGCATGAGACACCGTTTCTTAATCCGTTGTTCAGCAAACCGCCTTCTTTCACAATCGCGATCGCTTTCCTTCGCATATTTTAACAATCATTCCCGAGATCACCGACTATAACCAACTATTATGGCCTCGTTAACGCGAAATTTTCTCACAATTTTCAAAATAACGACTACGATTTCTCTACGTACGCATTAAACAGACGATACAATAGTCTCTTGGAAGAATATTCGACCGGTAGAATCGAACTACGATAGGACCTCTATTATACGAACTGGTCCAAGTAATCTATTTTTTTTCAAGATTGTTTTTGGTGAACCTCAATTCTGTCCAAATAGTTAGTTTCTAGCAGTCTGATTCAACAGGAGAAATATTCCGTAAAAATCAGACACTACAGAGTGACCCCGATAATAGATTCACCACTCGTCCCCACTTAACCGCAAGAATATTCGTCTAATCGTGGTTCTCAGAAAAGAAAACAATGAGTAATATCCCCGCCAAAATACGTAACCGGTTGAAAAACAAAAGGATTCGTCCCGTGACTAAAGCACAGATTGTTCCGCGATACGGTGGCACGATATCCCCCAATTAAAAAGTCTCCAACGGGTCTCGGTCCGCGTAGCGATCAATGGTCCGAGATCCACCGTTCCCGCTCACGATTTCGAATCGTCGAT